CCTCCAGAATCCTGTGGGAACTCTCTCACCTGCCACTGATCAGCTCTTGCTTTACTGTGTGAGCTTTCTATTCCTGTATCTGCATTTTACTTCCTCAACTAGACTGTAGTCTCTTTCAGAGCAGAAATATTCATCTTTTTTTAATTTTCCATTTTTGAATCTTAGTACAGTGCCTTTTTGCACATAGAACTTGCTCAAAAAAGGAAGATCGATTGCTACTTTACCTACTTATGTCTCCTAAAAATTGCCCCGTAGTCCTGAGTGGAACTTAGCCCACAGGAGACTGTTACTACGAGGTAACAGCGTGTTTATCCACTTATCTGTTTATCTAGCAGCCGACCTATCGTGACTCACCCTCAAATGAGGACCGCTGCCTTATAAGGAGGCACTGTGGAGGCTAACTGTTCCAAGGAGCCTGTCACCTCTCAAAGCATTTTTGGAACTCCGATTTGCATCAGCACCAGAGTTGGGGTGTCAAATCTTCACACCTCCTGGGGGGTTATTTTTGGAAACAGTGAAAGTCACTTTGGCCAAGCTTTGTGGGTGTGGCGGGTGGGGAGAGGGTGTGAGTAGGACCTGGGTGCACTGATCATCAGTTAATATTCACTTGGGCATTTCCTGTGTGCCGGGCTCTTTATATTCACTGCCTTCAAACTGTCTCCTTGAGGCAGGTTCTATTATGATCTCCATCTTACAGACAAGGAACCTGAGACACAGCATGCATAACAACCCTCCGCACAGGGACTCCATTGTTTTTTCTCATCACTAAGCTTGTTTGTGTTCAGGGAGGAGTGACCCAGCAGAGGTGAGGGGCACAGACACCTTATCTAAAGACAACAAAGCCAGCAACTGTGACATTTGAATTGTTGGGAGCAGAAGGAGCCTGGGGGGATGGCAGGAGCCATGGGAAAACTGAGAAAATGGGTCAGACCCTGCAGCTTTAGCAAATACAGGCACCCCAAGGACTCCTCTGGAGAGACCAGAGAGGACGGACACATATTTGGGGACCTAGGAGGAGGTTGGAGATGGTCACTAAAATTCCCAAAGGAATCCCTTTTATGCTTCTCTCTCTCTCTTTTTTAATGTTCTTAAATTTTTATAGTCTGTTGACTCTAAAAGGAGTTCAAGTTCATTGCAGAAAACACAGACACATATAAAGGAAAAAAGATCTATAAATGTCACCTCTTGGCCTAGAACTCTGGCTTTGCTGAGACAAGGCCTCTGAGCAGATCAGCACACACAGGGTTATTTATAAAGCCCCGTCTTTCCTCCCCACCTACTCTCTGCTCTGCTTGGCTACAAGAGGCCTTCAGCCAGGACATTCCCTTGCAGCCCACTCAGGCTGCTATATAAAGCCTGCCCTTCTCCGGCTGGATCAGAACGTTCCTTATCTCTTTGCAGCAGGACTCTGATAATCTGCCTGTTGGCAGGGGCTCTGAGATCTTCTCTGGCTGCTGCTATCGGGGCCTCCAACCCCATGTGGTCGTCTTCTCTGGTTCCCACTGAAACTTGGCCAACACCCCTGACTGAAACCTCAAATATAGGAAGTTGTTTGCTTGTTTCACTGGAGGACAGGTGCCAGACGTGAACTTAATGGGCTTGGCACGGGTGACGCGTGTGCCTGGCACATGTAGGCTCTGTGGTCGGACTGATGGACCATCACAATCCACGATGTCCCCTTGCTGAAGCAGCTCTGCCAACCCCCTCCACCTCCCGCCCTGTCAGTCCCCACCCTGCTTCCCTCCCCTTTCTCTTCATTAGCGTTTGGCTCCGAGTCCTCTTTATCCATATGGCTTCTACAGGCAAAGGCCTCACATGGCTGGTGGCCTGCTGTGTCTCAGTTCCAGAATTCCGGGCTGGACCTGTACCTCCCAGAGTGTGGACCACAGCAGATGTACTTACTTTGCCTGGAAAATAAGTTCTGCCAAAGTGGCAGAAACCCTCTTATTGCTGCAAGTTGGGGCAAAGGGAAGGCAAGACAGGCAAAGTAGCATCCTGAAAATGCACAGGTTTTAAGTCAGACATGGCCCACGCGAAATCCTAGCTCCCCCACTTAAGAAGTGCGATCTTAAGCTAGTTATGTAAGCCCCTTGGGGCTTAGCTTTCTCATCTTTAAAATGTACATTATGATGTTTTTGTCTTAAAACTGATGCAGAAATTAAGATGGCACATATAAAACACTGGAAACATTCGATGGTACTATGCAGTTATTATAATTCTTGTTAGTAATATTATTTATGGGCATTTGGATGGCAGAGAGGTGGTGGCAGTTTCTTATTAGATTCAAGATTCAGCAGGAGAATTCTTGATCTTGGTTGTTAAAAGACCCCATATAGGCAGGGAGTGTTGTTTCCATTGGCATTTTAATGAGTTTTTCAAGTTCTGAGAAAATTTTTTCAAAGCGACTTCTGGGCCTTGTGAAAGTCCTGCTGGTTCATCTCATACTGATCTCATGAGAAACCCATAAATCTTATATGAAAAGGTAAGTCTTGTGCTTATTGCTTGATCAAAATTTAGTAGAAAAATATTCTTACTACAGGCCACAAAGCACTTTAAGATAAATGATTATCTATCAAATAACAATAATGAAAACATTACTTATCAGAATTTTTGAGACACAGCTAAAGCAGTGCCCAGAGGAAAATGCATAGTGTGGAAGTTAATCTTATGTATCAACTTCACTGGACCATGGGTGCCAAGATATTCAGTTGAATGTTATTTTGGGTATGTCTGTGAATATGTTTCTGGATGAAATTAACATTTGAATTGATAGATTTCGGAAAGCAGATTGTCTTGCCCAAGATGAATGGAACTCATCCAATCCATTGAAGACTTGGACAGAACAAAAGGCTAGGTAAGAAAGACTTCCCCTCTCTGTCTTCCAACTGGAACATAGGTCTTCTCCTGCCTTTGACTACTGATTCTTCTAGATCTCAGGCCCTCAGACTGGACTGGAACTGTACCATCAATTTTATTGCTTTAGTTAACCTCTAAATCAAGAAAAATCCCCAGAAAACTAGCAGCACATATGGAAAAATAAACGAAAAGACAACAACAAAAAAACCCGAGCCCTACAAGACATGCTGCATATTTAAAAGCTACAATAATTAAAATAGTACAGGACATCTTGGAGTTGGAACAAAATAGAAAGTCCAGAAATAGACCAAAACTTATTGGGAATTTAGCTTATGATAATGATGGCATTTCAAATCATTGGGGGAAAAGATGCATTATTCAATAAATAGTGTTGAGACAACTCGTGGCCATCTGGAAAAAAATTAAGTTGGAATCCACACCTCACTTCTTATAACAGGATACATACCAGGGGGACTTACTGATTTAAATTTTTAAAAATGCTAGAAGAAACTATGAGAGATTAAAAAATGATCTGATGAGCATGTTGGAATAGGGAACTTTCAAAGTATCACACTAAATTCAGAAGCCATAATATAAAAAAAATGATGTGTTTGCACATTATCTATGGAAAAACTAACAAAAACAAATTTAAAAGCATAATGTCAAGCCAGGAAAAATATGTTAATATTTGTAATACATAAAGACCTTCTACTAACCAAAAATAAAAATTACCTACTCTATGATAAGAAAACAGTGGGCAAAGTTATGAACAGAGAATTTACAGAAGAAGGAACACAAATGTTTCACTTTATTCAAACCATGAGAACTTGTAAAGTAAAACTACAGAGAGATGGCATTTACCATGTATTACTTACCAAACTGACAAAAGCTAGAAAATTTTATGTACTCTGTTGGTGACGGTAATGGGAACAGAAACTCATATATGTTGTTATGGGACCTTCAATCTGTACACCCTCTGTGGATGGTGAAAATTACCAATGCATATACCCATATTCTACTTCTAGGAATTTATCCTAATCACTTTTGGGCAAAATGAAGTATGTACAAAGTTATTCATTACAACATTGTTTGAAACAGTAAATGATTGTAAACCACTGCCCCCCCACCCCCCCACCCCCCCAAAAAAAAACCTGGCTAAATAAATCCCAGTGCACTGAGACTCTAGAAACTTTTTATTTACTGATATGGAAATAAGCTTCAAGAGAGATTTTCAAATGAAAAAGGTGAGGTACAGAACTGTGTGCAAAACAGGGTGCTATTTCTGTGAAATGGAAAGAAAAGAACACACATTGCAACAATGGGTGTTGTGGAAACTTGCTACATTCCCAGAAAAAGTCCACTGTGATTTTATCCCATTCTGCAGATGGGGTAACTGGGGCACAGGGAGGTCGTCCAAGGTCATGTACTAGTTGGTGCCTGGTCTTGAACTTGGCAATTTGCTCCAGAGCTGGTACTCTCATCACCGTGCCGCCTTCCTGCGTGCGTTCATGTATTTGCTGGTGTTTTTATAGACTCTCCCTGGGTGGCTCAGGGAACAGAATGGGAAGGGGGTATTTGGCTGTCTTTCCTTTTGTGCATTTGACTACTGGACCATGCTTTAATAAATTTAAAGCAACAACTTTACGATTGGGAGCAGGGTCTGGAGGTGGGAGGTGTATTGCATAAGACTTAGGTTCCCTGAGGCAGCTGTCAAGTTCCAGCTGGAGACCCAGGGCTGGGGGTCTCTGCCTGCCTCGCTGCTCTCTCCCACTCACCTGGCTCTTGTAAGAGGGGTGGGTGGAGTCCAGCAAGGAGATGCCCAGGCCCCGCCTCCCGGAGGGTTGGGCCGGCCCACCCTGCCAGGGTCCAGGAGGTAGGCGGACAGCTGGATGCACTTAGGCCTTCGCGGGGGACCGAGGTACACGTCTCCCCACGTGTCGTGTCCCCCGCCCCGCCCGCCCCCGGCTATCGGCGCCGCGTGCCTGGGCTTGCATGACGCACCTCAAGGCAGTGGGATTGGGACAGGGGCTATTTTTGGTGGTGCAGATAATGGGTTGCTGCACAGGAACGTGTTCGGGGGAACGGAAGCCGTGCTGGGTGGAGGAGCACCTTCAGGGTTTTAAAGCACTTGGACTTGGCTTCAGCTGTGGGTAAGTGGCCCACGCAGCTGTGCTGGGGAGTCACCCACGGCCAAAGCCGGAGGGCTGTGGGGCTGGGTAGTGGGGTGCTTCCCTCCCCAAGTGCTCACAGAGGCAGCCTCCTTTCGCTGCCCGCCCCTTTCTGCCTGCCTGGGCACATCCTGGCGCCGCTGTGTGAGGAGCTGGCTGGCCTCAGGTGTCCAGAAGCCACCGCACCCCAGCCGCTGGCCTCCAACTTGGTCTGTCACGAAGAAACCAGAATACTTGCCACAGCCACACCACTTCCCGGCCACAGCAGCACCGCAACCCATGTGATCACACACCCACAACTACAGCACCACACAAGCACACACACCAGGAACCACAACACACACACGCCTGCAGACCACAACCACCCAGCCACCTCAGCACCACCTGCCACTTACCAAACCGTGTACTGTGTGCCCACTGAGGATCCTGGGAGGGAGTCTCCAGGCCTCCCTCTGCAGGCCAAGCAGGTGGGGCTGGAATGGTGGTGAGGAAGGCAGCTCCCTTAAGGACTTCTATGCCAGTTTGTCAGGAAGCCCTGGAGTCTGGGCATGTTCCTGTATTCCGCTCCCACCAGTTGCCCTGGGAGGGTCACACTGCCATCAGAGCATACATGGCCCCCTCGAGTGTGAAGGGTGGGAGCAGGCAGCCTGGCTTTCCTCCTCTTCCGGTGGCATTGGCTGGGGCCCCTCATGCTCGGGAGCAGGGCAGAAATCGCCCCCACAGTCCCTGTTGGAGGTATGTTCTGTGCAGCCCAGGGCTGGCTGTTGACGTCCAGTTCTATCAAAGGCACAGTCCTTGTCCCTGAGGTTGAGCGGGCAGTGGGAGCTGGGACTTGTGCAGGCTGCAGAAGGAGGCTGAGCTGTTGAGTGCGTGGCTGGGGCCACCCTTCGCCTCCACACCTTCCCTCTCACCTCTTCCCCTTCCGTGCTAGTGTCCATCTTTCCACGTGGCCACGGCTGTTTACCTCTGTGTCCACTCCACTTCCCAGGAAGTCTGCCTGTCTTCTCCAGCTTTGTCCCACTGTGCTTGGTGCCAGGAGTTAGCAGGTACGTGGTCAACGAAGGAAAGAACTCAGCTGGCAGAGGGGAGGTCCCCAGGTCTTTGCTGCCCAGTGTCCTGTGTGGTTTTAGGGGGAGATTTGAGCAGACAGGGCCCAGGCCACTGGACTGCAATGGAAAGGCAGTCCCTCTTGATCAGCTCTCTCTCCTGGACAGCCCAGGCAGCAGCCTTCTCTAGGTACCTGCTGGGCACAGTGGGTGAGTCCAGTGACAAACTGGGCATGGTCCCCTGAAGGTTTGCTAGGTTTCTGCTTCTTACTAGGGGCTGAGGATGGAATGAAGGGGGAAGAGAAGAAGCCAGGAAAGGCTGATTGTTCATCTCTTGGAGGGCTCTGAGCACCTAGGTGGTGAGCGTGGGTGGGGGTAGTTGGAGAGGACTTTGGGTGGGAGGCAGGAGGGGACAAAGGAGCATGCCAAGAAAGAGTGTTGGGGGGTGGTAAGAGTTTGAAGCAAGTTTGTCAGAGGAGGCGGGGCACAGGTGACCTCACTGTGTGGGGCAGAGAGCCCAAGCTCGTGAGCCTCAGCGATGGGGAAGGAAGGGGTGAGATAAGGCTAAAGGAGTCTAGAAGCTTCTGCTGAGGAGGCTGGTTTATGTAACAAACCCTGGGAGTCACGAACACAGGAGGATGATTCAGTCAACACACGGTGCCCAGGGAGACGATTCCATCTTCCCTGGGGAGGTCCCAGGAGAGGAGCTACCAGGGCACGGCTGTCAGGTGTTATTCTAGATACTGGCCAAGAAAATGAGCAGCCAGGACACTGAACCGCAGGAACTGGGCAGGGGAGGCTGTGTGGGGGGTTGTGTGGGAGGCCAGCAGCTCAGGAGCACAGCCTGATGCCTGGGGGTGCTGGGCTGGGGCAGTAACGATGAGGCTGGGGTGGGGAAGAGGTGACCAGGATTTAGGGGACATTGGGGATGAACGGGGGTGGCGGGGAAGACACAGGAAAGAGGGAGAGAAATGCTTTCTAGATATGAGAGAAGAGGGTTTTACAGCAGATCCATTCTGTCGAGGTCGTTTCCATGTGAGGCTGTGCAAACCAGAAGTGGAATCTAACACCATTCTTACTCATGGTTGCTGCTCTTTAATTTTGTTGATGTCAAGTGATGAGACAGCACCCCTCCCCCACTCCTGCAGAACTGTCAGCTTTGCTGACAAGTACCCTACACTTCCTCTTTTCTGATTTCAGAGAAGAGCTTTACTTTTCCTCTAAAAAAAGGGGAACCAGTTCCCTAAGCCATCAGAACAGTGGCCTCTGAGGTTTGCCAAAGCACTGCCCTGGCTATCTGGAGGGGCCTCCAGGCCCCTGTCCCCAGGTGCAGCCTGTTGGTGCAGCAAGAACATTTTTCCTTTGTCTTATGCAGTCCTAGGCCACTAGTTCTCCACTGTGATTAATAATAGGAAGCTTTAAATAATCCTGTTGCTCAGGTAGCAGCAAAGATCAATTGAATAGGAATTTGAGGGGAGAGTATATTTGGAAGTCCCCCAGGAGGTTGCAGGACTGCCAACCTCCAGTGCAAGTATGGGATTCTGTAAATGTTTCTGTTTACAATGTGAATTTAGTTCCGGCTTAAAGCTGGGCAGGGGTTCTTGATACTCTAGTATTTCAGATGAGGGAAACGCAGCCTAGGCTTAAGGAAAGGTGATCAGGGGAAAGGCCATCACCAGCATGAACTACTTCTGAGTTAGAAGGTTGTCCACTTCCTCCCTGTCAAAAAAATGTACCTGGCCCAGGTCCCCATTCTTATTCTCCAGGGCCAGTAAGAATTCCACCTGCTCTTGTTCTTCTTGCTCTATTGGCTTGGTACAGACCCAGGCTCTTACGTACAAGTTCTAGTTCAGGCTGCTATGTCAGAATAGCATAGACTGGGTGATTTAGGCAACTGGCATTTGTTTCCCCCAGTCTGGAGGCTGGACGTGGAGATCAGGGTGCCAGCATGGTTGGGTTCTGGTGAGGGTGCTCCTCCTGGATTGCAGCCTGCTGCTTTCTGGCTGTGTCCTTGAATGGCAGAGAGGGGAGCTCTGGTGTCCTTTCTTCTTCTTACAAGAGCACTAATCCCATCATGGGTTCCATGCTCATGGCCTTATCAGAAGCCAATTACCTCCCAGAGGTTTAACCTCCTAATACCATCGCACTGGGGATTAGGGCTTCAGCATATGAATTTTGAGAAAAACATTTAGTCCCCAAGAGCCTGGTTACTTTGTTCTACCAAAAGGTTTTCTCATCCTTTAAAAAAAAAGGGTTAACATAATCTAGTGCATAACTGGAGTTGGAGGGCTGACAGATGTCCTGGTTGGAAAATGTCTAATACGAGGCCTGACTCATAGCTGGACTCAACACATCTTAGCCATTATTATTGTTAAAATGTATAGTGCTTTTTGTTGTTCAGTTCAAAACTTTGGTAATTTCCACAGTAACATCATTCCTTAGTAATTCCTTAGTAATTCTTTTACCTGGAACCCAAGGTCTGTAATTACTTTTAATTATTTTATGTGAGAAAAAAATGTATGTGCACATGTGTATTTCCCTCTCACTCTTGAATGAATGATAATTTTGCAGGGTATAGAATTCTACATTGATTGTAACTTTTTCTCAGGACTTTAAAAGATTCTATATTTTCTAGTATCTGATGATGTTGCTACTATCAAATTTCTAGGTAATTTGTTTTATTATCTCTGGTAAATTTTTTTTTAAACTTTACACATCTCATAGTTTCACTATAATGTATGGACACTTAGATACAACATAGTGAAAATACAAATTCTTATGTATCCATAGCTAGAGTTCTTAATGAATTCTAATTGCAACATTAGAAAAATTCAGATATTACCTTCTTGAACATCTCTTCACTCTTATTCTTTCTCTTCTATTTTTCTGGAATTCTTATTAGCTGTATATTGGCTCCTGTCAGTCTATCTTATATTCTATAGCTGCCATTTCATATTAAAAAATACATTTTTTCTCTTTATTTTGCATTTTGGGTGATTTCTTCAGTACTGACTTCTAATTTTTTTCTGCCTTCTAATTAATGTTTCTGTATTCTATAATGACTTTATAGAGTTTAATTGAGTTTGTGCATCTAAATGTCAATATTTTTTCATCTCATTTTTTTTTCATAATATAGTTTTATTTTTCTATTTGATGTTTCATAATTTGTGTTTTTATAAATGATTGTAAGTCATTCCTTTATATCTTTTTGAGAATCCTAAGCATTTCTTTATAATACTTGTTCACTACTTGGCATATTATGATTTTTAAAAAAACTTTATTTTTGAGACAGGGTCTCGCTGAGTTGTTGAGGCTGGCTTTGAACTTGAAATCCTCCTGCCTCAGCCTCCCGAGTCACTGGGATTACAGACGTGTGCCACCATGCTGGGCTTATGTTATAAAATGTACAAAAAGGGTTCTTCCACTAGCAAGTAGGTGTCATGAGGGCAATAACTTTGATTTGTTTATTATTGTTTCCTTAGCAACTAAAACAGTGTCTAGGACATTGCAGGTGCTTAACATACTTATCTATCTAATCACCCGACTATATGTTCACTCCATAAGAAGTGAATTCAGTTCCTATCATTGCATTCTCAATTTTGGCTACCTTCTTGGTCTTGCTTTTGGGAAAGTTACTACTAATTTTATTCTCCCTGTGCTCATCCCCTCCCGGGCTTGTGGTTTTATAGGAGCTTCTTCTTGGTCCGCAGAGACCCCAGTTCTGAACCAGATTGTCTATGGTCAGCGCAGGCATCCACGCTCTTTGAGGATGTGGCAGAGTCTTTCAGTGGGCCACATTCTTCCTCAATTGGGACAAGATATGTACAAGCCTCAGCCCTCATCTTTTCAATGTCTGGTCCTTAAGTGTGGGAGCCCAGCAGTCTCTGGCTCGGAGACCCTTCTCATGTGGTAGTCCCCTCTTACCTAGGAGAAAGTTTCTGCCGCCTCTGCCTGCCCTCTGACCCGGAGGCCAGGACCCAGCCTCATTTCTGCCTATAGTGTTAGTTCTGTGTTTCCCTGACCCTTGATCTTTTTGTGCAAGGCTTTGATGGTAAAATTTTTGATTTTTGTGTTTTAGCTATTATTGTTAAATGTTTGGAAAGGGGAGGACCCTTGCAGCACGAGCTTAGAGTACCATTGTGCCTGGAAGGCCTATGACTAGAACTCATTTGGCAGCTCCATCACCAGGCCCCAGGGGTTTAGTCTGGAAAGTACAGAATGCCGACAGAGGGGGCCGTGTTAAAGCTCACCTTGATCCTCCTCCTCACTCAGGAGAGGAGGGAGTTCAGGCCCAGTGACTTGCTTGGGGCAATGCATTTCCTTAGTAGCAGAGCCAGGAAGGCAAACCTTGTTCTGCAGCCTGGCTCTTTGAACACCTGCCCTTGGACATCTGAGTTCTTTCACAGCATGGCCTTCCTGCCTTGCTGCTCTGAGCCACACAGTTTAAGGGCTTAGCTCTGGCTCTATCCAGTCCTCTGGGGTCTTTCTCTTCCCCAGGCATATGGCACATAAGATGGGGGTGGGGTGGGGGGGGTGGAGGGGAAGAATGGGCTTTAATAATTACTTAGTGTTTACCCTGCAGTGGCTCTGCCTAGGGGAGGGGTCTTCTGTCAATGGCTGTGTGAGTGCTAACATTTTATATACACCACTGCCCTCTAGTGTCCATAATGAGCATCAGCATACAGCCTGAAACCCTGAGACCCTTTTCCCTGCATGAAGACATACATTTGAGTCCTATTTATTTGGTATTGCAATGCCAAATATATAAAACATATATATTATCAGAAGCTGTAATTTACCTCTGTAAAGATGTACATAGATCCCTAGGAGCCACATAAACAAGGAAAATACATGTTCAACCCATTTTAATGATATCTTTTATTTAATCCAACATATCAAAAATATTATAATTTCAACATATCACCAATATAAAATTATTAATGAGTCATTATGCATTCTTATTTTGGAACTCTGCTGTGAATTTTATGGATGTCTCAGTT